AAGTGCTGCTGGCTCCTACCCTGGGGGTCTTTAAGACAAGGCTTGCCAATCACCTTGCTGGGGTCATTTGACCCCAGTAGTCTTTCCTGCCATGGCAGGGGGTCGGACTTGATGATCTGCTCAGGTGCTTCCGACCCTACTAACTATGAAACTATATTCTAGTTAGGATAAAGAACAATGCACGATAATATCGTAAATGCTGTAGGCAGGTTAAGGTGGCCTAAACTGAAAACAAAAATCTCAGAAAACGTATCAATTTAAGATATTACAATCTTAGGCCCCTTCTACATGTTACATATATTATGAGATTAATCAGTTGATTGTGCAGTTTATTTAGACCGGCTACACACACAAATTAACTATCACACCATGAAAAGGTCCATCCAGCTATGTTAGAGCTGGAAAATGTGTAGAAACTTTATAGCTGGTTTCTATTCAGCTTTCAATTTGCACATGCAGCAGGGTCTCCCCCTGCAGCTGTCAGCTGTTGAGGCTCCCAGCCACACAGGGAAATGCTGCTCAGCTGGGGCTGAAAGTTCTGCAGCTGGGGGGACTCTCTGCCTCAGAAGTGTCCCAGGGCTGCCAGGAGGAAGAGTCCTGCAGCTGCTGGGGCTGGTGGCTGCATCCCATGTGCTGCCAGGGTGGAAAGTCCTGCCACTGACAGAACTCTTGGCCCCAGCAGCCAAGGAGTGCTGTTGGGGCTGAGAGTCCCATCAGTTGCAGGACTCTTGGTCCCAGTAGCAGTGGGGTGCTGCTGAGACTGAGAGTTATGCCACTCGTTGCAGTGGGAGTTTGCTATCTTCCGGTACACGGGGAGCCCAGGATGTCGATTCCAGGCTTCTGCTGTACCGGCAGTAAAAGGTGTGATAGGATCTGATGCTGGATTCTGCATGGCAGAGGCACAACTGCATGGATCTCGTATTGGATCCCATTGCACCTTTGCCTGCATGCATAGAGAGGGCCTTAAAAGTATCATTCTGCTTGGGCTTTAACATTTATAAGATCACAAAACACTAACAATGAAATATTTTGGGAAAAAAACTTTAAATAGGCTACAGCCTATTCAAAAATCACTATTAATATTCAAAACACTAATTTAACTCTGAAAACATTTTACCATGACAAAAATGAATTTAGCAGAACTGAATTACAGACATGAATACCATATTTTCTCATATACAAAATACACCTTTCACCTCCAAAAAACAGCTGCTGGAAATTGGGGTACACATTATAAGTGAGGAAATACAGTAAAAACACTTTCTGCTGCTTACAGTTTTTCTGGGCCAAGGCAAAAATAACTGCATACAACCCAGAGGGTTGTGGAGCAGGCTCAGCTCCCTACCTCCTGCTGCTCAATTACTTACTACAAGCAAGGGACATTTTTCTTCTGCCTTTCAAAAAACAAGGTGTATATCTTATTCTGGGTGGTACACAAGAAAATATGGGAAACTGCAACATTAAGGTTTAAAATGTCACAACTGTCCACAAAATAGAACACTCTTGTCTAGGCAAATCCAATAGACTTAAATTGCAAAAGACCCATCACAAATAAAAGTTCAGTTTGTTTCTCTTACCAGCACAGCCAGATCAGCTTGAGAAGCTCCACCAATCATATTGGGAACAAAGCTCTTATGTCCTGGGGCATCTAAAATTGTGAAGTGTTTTTTCTCCGTTTCAAAATAGGCCCGACCAACTTCTACTGTTTTACCTTTGTCTCGTTCTTCCTGGTTTGTGTCTAAGGCCCAAGATAGGTACCTAATACACACAATGTAAATCTGCATTAATGTTTACTAACAAAGTTTGGTTTTATAATTCTCTCAAACACATTTTGTACAAACAACAGTATGTCATTTTTACCATGTTATGTTGCATCAAAATAGCTACACCTCAGTTAAGACTGAGAACATGTCATATCAACAATTGCTGGTATACCTATACAGCAGGGGTGGGCAATTATTTCGGCTGAAGGGCCGCTTAATGAGTTTTGGTGAGTTGTTGAGGGCCACAAGGGGAGCCTCAGGGGCTGGATGTCCTGCCATCTTGGGGCTGGGAGTCCTGGCCCTACCCCCTGACCTTTGCCACCAGAAGTCCCTCTCCTTGTCCCTGGAAGAACTCCTTTTTGGAGAAGGGGGTTGCCATCTTGGAACCGGATAAAAAAACCAAATCATATACAAAAAAAAAAAAAATCAAACATCTACTATAACGTATTTTAGTTTTATTTAAAACATATTTTTTGTCCCAATGTATGTGCGTTTCCATAGTATATATAGAGGTGATTGCATCATAGCTCAAAATAAAGTCTTACTCTCTTACACGTGAGGGTGGGAGGGGGCAGGGCTCAGCTCCATGCAAAGTACAGCAGGGGAGCTGCAGGCTGTACCAGATAAGATTAATTGATGGGCGCCCATCCATAGGCCAGATGAAAGTCACCTGGTGGGACAGATTCAGCCCAAGGGTCGCATTTTGCCCGCCCCTGACAGACAGCATAAAACTGGGCAGAGATCCTCTTGAGCTTGATCTGCCTGGGCTAGTTTTGGACTGGAACTCAAGGCTGTGTGAAACCCACATGAATCCAGCTTCACTGCTTCCAGTTCCAAAGCTAGAGCATTTAGAGCTGGCTCAGTGTATTTTTGCTCAGCAGTGCCTTCCACCATATAGACATCTACTCTATTATCCACGACTACACTGTAAACTCAAATATTTCATGCTTAGCCCCAGTTTAGAAATAAATGAACATCTGAAGAAATCAAAAGAGGATTAATTTAACTTGATCAAGAAAAATACTTCTATTCTTTTTTCCTCCAACACATGGACACACAATGCTATTTTTGCTTTGACACACAATCCTCCATAGAGAATAACTACAGTACATTTTTAAAAAGTTGGTAATGAAATAGAAACGACTTAAAACTACTTAAAATGATCAAGGCAATTTTGTTGTCTCCAGTGACCAATCTATCAATTTTAGCCTACTCGAGAGTATGCTCTGCTTCTAAGCAAAATTTAAAATGCATATATTATTTGGTTCACTTCCATATATATGCCTTTGGGTCACAATACAAAATGAAATAAATGCACCTGTTTCCATTCTTCCATGCCCACCAATTCCTCCATAACCCAAGAATTCTTGACAGAACAAAAAGACAGATGTCACAGAACTGAAAGGTCAATTCTTCTTCCCAATATCATTAAGCATTAACATTAACTGAAGTAACACAAGCATCATACCCACTGTTGCATATGAGCAAGAAGGGCAGTGAAAACTATGCTTTCATTTTCTGGCTTATAAATAAGATCTTAGGAACTGCTAGATTTCCCCTGTATTGTCTTTTAAAAAAAAAGTTATTTCCTGGGCAACAGATTAGATATTCTTTGTCATCTAAAGAGAATATTTCAAGTTTTCTAAGATGGGATACTACAGAAAAGCATACTTCTGAATCAGTTTTTTAGATAACAGATTGTTGTATAGTACTAGACACAAAGCTTGGCAGAGGGAGGTAAGGCAACCTTTAGCCCAAGCATCAAGCAATTTTACAATTTAATGCTAGATTTTAAACTTTACATTAATTTTTCTGTCCTACTTTGAATCAACATGGCTTGGCTAAAACATTTAGAGTAAAAATAGCATTTGCAAGTCATTTTACACTCCCTTTAGCAACATGTAGGACGTTTCTATTCTCTACCAGTGTGATGGAAAAGTTCTAATAAAACTAACTTACAAATGCTTTACCCTTCTTCTAGAAAATAATCCAATGAAAGCTGGGTATCAGGACTTCTGTTCTTTGTGTTGCTAGTGAATGACATTAGCTAACACAGAAGTAGGTTGCCCAAAAATAAGAGGGACTTGGTAGAATATGAACAAAATTTAATTAAAATTTCCTGTACTAAAGCAGAAAACAATTTGGCAAGTCTGCATGAGGGCACTGAAAAATACAAATGTTTACAGTCTCAAAATATGATCCTCTTGCTATAGAAGCTTGCCCACTGTTAAAAGCAGTGTTTTCAGTATGTTAAACACATATTCTTATAAGACTGTCCATTAAAGAACCTTACAAGCATCAATCAAGCCACGTACATGTGAAATAGGAAAAGAATGGGGAATGGACAAAATGCCTGTTATGCACCTAGCACCTAGAGACCTCAGCATTAGGTTAGGAGATCACTATGCTATGCTTGAATTTTGTCAGGTAGTGTACAAACACAACAAAAGGCCATCTCTGCCCTAAGGAATAAAGACAAGACAAGAGACAACAGGTGTAAACAGAAAGGCAGTGGAAGCATCAAGAAACAACGTGACAACTGGTCAGCAGGAGAAGCATGGCAGCTGGCAAACTACTGTTGGTTTTTTCTGTACATACCCAGTGCAGTTTAGCAAAGGATTTGAATGATACTTAACTATAATGCACAGCTGCTACGCATAAGACAGTAAATAAGAATATAGTATTATAAAAAGGACAGAGAAATCTGAGCAGATAGGAAGTAATAACAATGATTTGAATTTTGTCAGGTATTCAAAAGTTAGCACACAGATGCTTTGAATCTTTAATAGCAAAAACCTGTCCGGATCTTTGTTTTAGCTCATTTATTATTCAACATAATGTTGTATTGTTAGTGAGTACTGTATCAAGGGGTCAAATACTACTTACACAAACTCTATCATACCCTCTCTCACACTTCAGAATTTCCTAGACTTCTCAGCAACAGACCAACTGGTTTGATCCTACTCAGCCTGTAAATCCCCACACAGGGTACCAAGGCAGAAAATCCCTTTCCCCTAACACCTTTAAAGTATTATGCATATAACAATCTTTTGGTCACTAAAACCTCTGCTCTATCAATTCTGACCAAGAAAAGTTTAGCAGACCTTTGAAAAAAGTAACTCCCAAACTTCAGTCCTGTCAACTGTGGAAAAATTTGACAAATGACTACAACGTGGAAACCAGGCTTTGTTGTCAGTTATGCCATATTTTGTTAAGAGAATGATTTAGGATATTTTCATTTTCATTTCAAAGAATTCAGACTAGAAATACCCAAAGCATTCAGGGTCTTTGTGAAAAGTCCACAGGCTTACCATGTCATACCAGAATAAAGACAGTCTCTGCTCATGCTTGCCACAATAAAATGAACTCATGGCATGATCCAGTCCTGCTGTCCCACCATAAAATGCATTTAAATTGGGTCAAAACCTACCTCTCTCTAGGGTTCCAGTACTGCTACTCCTGAAAATATTCTCAGCTGCTGCTCAAGCCCCCCTATTCCCTCTAAGAAGCAGAAGGTGTTTTTCAGAGGGAGCTCAGATACCCAGGAGCTGTAGTAGGAGAAAGGAGGGAGCAGGCTGGGCTGCTACATTTTGATGGGAGGTGGGGGGGAGTGGAGCAGGGGAGGCTTCCAGCCTGTGACCAAACTAAGTTCATAGCTGCTTCTCCTTTCTTTATGAGCTTAATGTGAAAAATATTATGGGCTAGACTTTTGCCACCATCTCTCCCTACTCCCAAAAGACTGTCAGCTTGTGAATTCCCTCCCTCATCTCTCTCTCATGTACAAGGGAAGGGTCTGCCACTAGCTATCTGCTGATCTGCAACACCATAGCTAAGGCAATGTTCTGCAGGACAGATAAGCACAATCTGCTCCAATGTTGAACACACTGTATAAATGCAAGCGTGCTGAAGAAGTCTAGCCAGAGAAATACTGGGGTAATTAGCATAAAGTACTATAAAGGAAAAAGAACACAGTCTGCACTGAAGCTCTTGAAAAAAAATAAGTTGTTATAGTCTTACGAAACAAAATTTCATACCATGTTTCTCTGTTTTTCTCTTTAGCTTCTCGCTCATATTTTTCAAGTGTTCTTTTGTCAACCATTCCTGTCAAGTACCTAAGGAGGGAGGAAGATATTTTACATTAACAACATGGCATCTACATTTTTATCTACTGGTATATGAATAAATTACTCTGCAGAACTGAGGCATGTTTTAAAAAGGGCAGAGCTGGAATTTCCACCCTCCAAAAAACAACTTGCTATTTTACATGTAAGGTGTAGATATCTATTAAGAAAGTAAAACATAAAACAAGGCATAAATGTACTTCTATGAGCTCATCTCAAAGAGATACTGTTTTAGACAGCTAGTGCAATGAAAGCACCATGCAAAAAAAAAATTTTTTGTATTGAATTTGGAAATGCTTCAGTTTATGGACAGTTTAAAGAATACACAAAAGCCAGTAAGTAGATTGGGTGAGGGGTGGGGAGGGGTCAGAAACCCTAACACATGACTTTACATAAAAAATGCAATGGAATGACTGAAAGTTAAAGAAAGGTATTTCTTTAATAGTCATCCCATCTTAAGATTGGATAAGTAAAGGAAGTGCCATTACCCACTGATTTCTGCATATTAAAACACCTACATACCTATACTAGGTGCTCTTTGTCTAATGCTACCATGTCCCTTGTGGTGTTTTTCCTTAGAAGCTTCAATTTGATATTTTACTCATAAGGAAATAATAAAGGCAGCAACATATAAAAGAGAGAAAATACAGGCACTCTATTTACTTTCTTTCATAACAAAGAAAAAAAGATATTCAACAAAACTAAAAGGCAATAAATGTAAAAATGAAAAAAAATACAGCAAAACTAGTTTATGGAACATAAACATCTTGGCAGGAATAGAAAAAATAGATACCTGCATACAGATATAATAAAATATTAAAAATCGTGTTTTCTTCTGCAGCATGATCTGTGAAGCCAAAGCAACTACAGAGTAGTGGGGGTTAAAAAAGCAGCTTCCCCTATAACGAAGCTATTCCAGATTTGTTTAATACAGAGTTTTTTGCATCATCGGAGATACCCAGAGCTGACCATTATCTGAAGAAAAGATGACTATATCAGTGATTCTCAACCAGGGTAACGTGGCAGCCTGGAATGCCTACAGATCTTTTCACAGGTAACGTAGTGTGCCACATAAACTTAGTATTGTTAGAAACCTAAGAGCTGGCATTTCCTGAAGGCCTCAAACCTAACAAGGTTGAGAACCACTGGACTGGATGAAACAGTGTTTTGATCAACTATGATGACCTACGTTCTGGTTTGATCAAAGGATAAGGAAAATCAGAGATCTTTCACTTTGTCACTAAAAGTATCATCTTAAAATTATGACAATACTTTCTTTCAGAAGACTAATATTTATATAGCAATTTCCACCCCACACACACACTTAATATATGCCATTCAACTTATAAAGACTTGAACACCTAACTAGATTACTTTCATTTCTCTCAGTAAAGAAGAACCCAAACTGTAGATACATTTAACAGGCTTAATTTATATAAAATGGACAGTATATAATCTGATGACTTTAAATGAAGTTATGATTCATAAACTAACTCTGACACTGAGTACACTCAAATAGTTTTTTAAATCTTACAAAAAGGACAATTTAACAGAGTAGATGAACAGCAGCTGAAAGGTCAGCTTTCAGGAAAAAAAAAAGGAGTGACGTTTTAAAGAACACACTGTTACTTTTTGTTATTAATAATCAGGCTCTTGTACAGTTATGCTTCCATTAAGTAAATGACACTCCTGTGGAGATCAGCGGATTAGTTCTGCTGGAGTTAAAGAATCAAAGACAATGAGAAACCAAATTAATAAACTTTCATCATAAAATACCACTTTGGTATTCATCTTAAAATATTAATCTATACTGACAAAAGCCATCAAAATTACTATTTACTAATACTTAATGCATTTTAATTCACAGTACAAGACTACACATCTACAGAAATCTCTTACTGTAAAAGATAAGCTTGCTTACATTATTTGTCCTCCAATGGTTGATTTGCCGGCATCTGGCAAACATAAAAAGAAAATCAGCTGACAAATTCATTCAATTTAAGGTTAAAAAGAAGAGAGAGAGAAAAGAAGACTAAAAAAATTAAACATTGCAAGTGAAAGTGAGATGATCTTATTTCCTGACCATGCAGCACTGTTCTACCACTTTGTCATCTAGTTTTAAAATATCCCAAGAAATGCAATTTCTATTTCTCTTCAAATCTATTCTACAAATAAGAATGGTCAATGAAATTGCATTGTTATGGTTTTCCCCATTAGACTCCAAGGCTCAATCCCACCCACACCCTTTCATTTTCACATCCTTCCATTTACTTGCAAACTGTCTAAAACCAGGGGTCAGCAACATATGGCACACAAATTCACCCTGCAAAGGTCTGAGTACCTTCCCTGCTGCTCCAAAGTTTGCCAACTCCTAGTCTAAACAATTCAAGCAAGATCCTAGCCCAGGGGTGGGCAATTATTTGGGCCCAAGGGCCACATAAGGAGTTTTGGGAAGCTGTCACTGGCTGAGTCAGAGCCCCCCTACCCAAACAGCTCACCAAACCTACCCATGTGGGATTTGGAGGGGGAAGAGCTGGTGCAACAGCTTCAGCAGGGTCAGCCTCTGGCCCACCCTTCTATCCAAGGAGGAGCTCAAGTAGACGCCCCGATTCCCAGGGGGGAAGCTGCTGCCTGCATCCACAACTGACACTGGTACCCACCCAACACTGCTTCTGGCAAAAGCCCAGCCCATCAGCAGGCACGCTTGCCAGTTCTAGGGCCCTTCTGGCTGCAGCTGCCTGGAGCCCACACCAGGACTGCCCTGCATCTCCTCCCCACTACTGCTGCTAGTGCTTGTGGGCCCAGGGTGGCCTGGAGGTGCTGCGGGGTGGCAGCAGTGGGGAGAAGCCACAGGGCAGCCCTGGCGTGGGTTCTGGGCAGCCACAGGCAGAAGGGCCCCAGAAGTGGCAAGCATGCCCCCTGGAGGGTCTTGCCTTTGCCCGGTACCCAGCGCTGGGGCTGCTGCCACCCATCATGGGCAGAGCTGTCTGTCTCTCTCTCCTCTCCCCGCAACATTCCTCTCCCTCTCCCTTGCCCTCCCAACCATTCCACACCTCCAGCATAACCCTGCAGCTTACACCAGATCCCAGCCCATGCAGCAGAAGCAGTGCTAGGCAGGAACTGGCATCAGCTGTGGATGCAGTCAGCTGCTTCCCTCTGTGGATCGGGGTGTCCTCCTGGGTCCGCAAGCAATGCTGCTGTATCAGCATGTCAGCTGCAGCCCCAGTGCGTGGAATGGGAGCTGGTTTAAACTCTGGACAGGGTCAGGACATACCTGCCCACCCAACACAATGCGACAGCTGGAACCACCAGCTCCCTATGGGCCAGATCAATCAATTGGCAGGCTGGATCCGGGCCATGGGCCATATTTTGCCTACCCCTGCCCTAGCCCATAGCATTTAGCAACTTAAATCCTGAGTTTACCGCTCCATTTATTTTTATTTTTTGATTCTGCAAGTTGTCAATATTCTCTTGGTTGCAAAACAGGAGTATTTAAGTTGCAATCTTACCAGGGACAGAAAGGGACCATTGTTTTCCAGCAAAACATTTTTTAAATCCTTTGCAGGAGATGTTTGGGTACTCCTTACCTAATCCACCAACCAGATTCTCAGAGAAGCCACAAGCATGGATATTATTCTGAAAAAATGCAGGCCCTCTCCTATCCTTTTCTGACCTATTACTGCTTTAGAAAGACTAACACAGCAGCATTATTAAAACAAGGTACTATGACCTTGTCAAGGCAGGATGCACACTTTCATCTTCTAAGGAGGAAGTATGATTAACCTTTGGTATACCCAGTTCCCACTGATATAAAGAGCAATTTCTGGACCCCTGCTACTTATTCATAACACTTGCTATGCAGTGTCAGGAGGAAAGCCCTGTTCATTCTAAAGTGATTTCCTAACACCAAACAACAGACAGGATTTTTGTAAAAGTAAGAAAACACTTGTATTTTCAGTGAAACAAGTAACCTACAGAACTAGAAAGAAAACCATACACTGGCTTGACTAAAGGGGCTGCATTACATAAAACCTCAAAGTATAGTTAAACATACATTACAAGTATTCTGCATCCCTTGCCCTGAACCTGGTATTTACAACTTACCTACATGCCCAATGAATACTACATTTACATGTTCTTTTTTAGGAGCACCTGGTGGTGCTACCACTGATTTAGGTGTTGGCATTTCCTCCTCTTCCTCCATCATTTCCTGGGCACCCTCCTCAGTAGCTCCTGCATCTCCTGATGGGCCACTTCCAAGTTCTACTTCACTTGTTTCTTCTTTGTGGTCCCATGATTCTTCAGGGGACATTTCTGTCTCTCCATTTTCCACTAGAGGTTAAAAAAGAGGGACTATTCAAATAGATTAAGACATTAAATCAAAGAGAGCTAGAAATTCTTTTTGATTCTATGAATAACTAGTTTGGTGCCTTTTTAATTTTTAGCCTGGCTTGTGCCCTGCTACATTAAACAGGCAGTTTCTTTGGTTCTGAAGTGGATAGTATGGGGAGCTTTCAAACCAGTTTGTCTGCTGACATCAGAAAACTGACTCACACGGATTAGGAGAATTCTATTTTAACAAAGCAGCACTTTTACGGCGAAAAGTAAATCTAACCGTAGACTCAGAACAGCATGAGAGTCAATTACAGTCACACATCTGCACCAAAACTGCTCTGAAAAACATCATCATTTTAAAAAGAAAAGAACAATTTAATTTAAGGTTCACAGAAAATTAGGAGAAATACAGCATTATTATATTCCATCTTGTCAATTCCAAACCAGAAGATAGTAATAAATCCATTCTGCAATTTGAAATAAGATTTTTAAATAGAAGTGCAGGGTGTTCCTATGCAAAGTTCAAATAATCCCAATACATCTGCCATCACAAAATTTATTGCAGTGGTATTTTAATGTCCTAGTAACTCTTTTCCAATCTAGGCACAAAGCAGACAATTTCTGTACCAACAAAAATTGCAAAGGCTCAATTAAGGCAGCTTTAGTTTAGCTCACTTGTGAATTAACACAAGTGATATTAGAAGTCCTTTATAGACCTGTTATAGTAAAGCAATTTTCTTCTTACCAACAGGTTCTGATACATCCATATTAACAGCAGCATTTGAACCTAAACCAAAAACATGAAGCAGTGAGTATATTAGTTTAACACAACACCAATAATAATTTAACGTAAGTTTGAAATGAACATTGTAATGAGATGGAAAGTCCAGCAGTTAGGGTATTAGCCTAGGAAAATGGGGATAATAGCAAAGGGTTTTTCAAGGATAAAAATATTTAAGGTTTTATTTGAATACTTCAGTACAGTACCAGGGGCCAAACAAGTACCTTAACAGATTGTTTTGGGGTTTTTTGTTTTTAATATCTTGTGCTGCAATTTCCTTGTGTGCGATTAAGAAAATTTTTTAAATAAATTGCAAAAAAAAAAACCAAAACAAAACTCAATTACCTTCACAAGATGCTGTTTGTTCCTCCTGAGAAGACTCTGAAGATGCACCTTAAATAAAAGATTCCCTTTTAAAGGAAAGTCATTGGATTTAACCTATTACAAGATACTTGCAAATGGCAGCTTTATCAATGTTATCAAAAGAAAGCTATATTAAAAAAAATCCCCCCTTGTGCAAATGGCATTAACTACATGCTTGAAGCTCTAAAGAACTCTGCTTATTCCTTTAAGAACTAGATTAGCTACTTCTTGGGTATTTTCCCCTCCTCTGGAAAGATTTACTATGAAAAAGTTTAATGAAAGATGTTTCTATAGATGCAGTTCACCTGCTCAGCCTTTTTTGGTACTTTTTTGTGCATATTTGGGCTGGTAACATCTGTAGTTAAATGTCTCTATCTGTAATGAAGTAATATTTCATTTGTGATGTCAACATTGTATGAAAGAATTATAATAAATCTCTCACATAGGCATTTTTAGAATTGAAGAAATTTAGAATTTTGCTGAAGGATCAAGGAAATTGAAATGGGCTAAAGAAGGTTAAAAGACCTTCTATGATTACCAACACAGCAAAAAAATAAAAACAAGTGACTGGTAAATTCATTTTTTAAACCTAAAAATCTGAAACTAGTAGCAAGGCCTCTGTTTTTTAACTGACAGTCTAAACATTTGTAGTTGGGCCAAATAAAGCATAAGTGATTTTACTGCAGGTGTGCTCAACCCCTGGCCCACTGGCCAGATCTGGTCCACAGAGCTCACCACAGGTTTGAAAGTTTGGTGTCAGTGGTAACATTAATTGCTGCTCCCCTACTGCCAAATTTCCAGACCTGTAGAGAGCCTGGTGGGCTGGAAAGTGGACATGCATGCTAAATCAGGTGCAAAAGGCTGGGATGGCATAGGACTAAATTTTGGCATGCAGGGCCAGGTTCGGGCAGCACAGTGCTGGACACCATGAGGGATCTAGCCCATGAATCAGCCCTGTGCTGTTCATCTGGACCATGAAGCCAAAAGGTTGAGCAACACTGATTTACTGCATCCCCATCTTGATCTGGTTAATATAGTCTCCCTCATTTTTCCTAGCACTGCAATTATTTTAGTTGTATGCCCTTTGAGTACCCACTATACAGTCTTTAGCACAGCTCTAAGAAGCAAAATATTCTAGGAGACTTTACAAAGCCATCAGATGTCAGTAGGACAATTTTACCAATCTTCACAGCACTTTTATAATGGATCTGCAAACACAGTACCACCAGATTAACATTAAGTAGTAACTAATTATTTAACCTACCAGAAGCATCCTATTCCAACCAGTCATTATAGCATGACCTTTTGGGACATTTTACATATAGGCACAACAGTATTCCACAGATAAACCTAGACTAGAGCATTAACCTGTTTAATCTCAGGCTTCAGGTTTCTTTGAAATGACCAAAGTAACCCTTATGCATGTTAAAGCAGTATTGTCATCCATACTGTACCTCTCCTTTGCCCTAACCACATAATCATGTCACATCTTTTACTTGGTTGTGTTACCAACTCATTTCCAATCCTACTGCATACAAATTCAACTCCTGCATTATTTGAGCACCTTGAAATATATGTGAAGTGAATTTGAAAAATAAAATAGATCTTCCCAAAATAAAAAACAAAGCAAGAGAGAGACTAGACTCTCAATCACTTTGCTTTAGATCTGTATTGTGTGATCATTACAGGCTGTCATAAACTAGTCTGACAGTGCCAGAGAACAAGGAATGCAAGCCGGGGTGAATGTGGGTCATAGTCAGTGGGTACACTGCACTAGGAGAATGAACAAAAGCAACAGAGCATTAGCATGTCCAGGGCAACAATCTGAGACCAATTAATACATAATACAGAAGACGCAGCTCACTTCAAAGAATTGAGAACCATAATAGCTGAACTCTTGCAGTAATCGTACTGCTGGTCATAGCAGGTCTCATCAGATCAGAGTACTTTAAGATTCTTTACAAAAGTGATTACTACTCCCATTTTACAGATGGGAAACAGGCAGGCAGGCAGTCACCTTACTCATCCAATGTAGGACAGGAAATGAGTGACACAGCTAGAACCAGAACCTAGGCTTGACATTAAAACCCTATTCTAGAATAAAGCATGTCCCAAAATTCAGTTGGCCACACTGCACTTAGTGAAAGCTGTAAAACCATTTCCATTGCAAGCTCATTTTTACAAGCAAAAGGGTTTAAGGAATTCATTTTTAGGGCTGAAATGTCCAGTTGTAGGCAGACATCATATGGAAAAACTATTTAGTGTATGCTATACTTCTACATGACTTGATATAGAAACACTATGGTAAGTACATAGAGTTGCCTAAACTGACTGTGTTTGTAACATATTCTGAAGTTCTCTGTGATGGTTTCTAACAACAAAGTTTGGAGACAGCAGTAAAAAAGTAACAACTCCTTCCTTCCCCAACCCAAAGAGAAGTAGGAACTAGCACACTGAGAAAGAGGGATTATGACTGACCATCATAGTAGCCGTACTGCTCAGCTCAAGGCAAATTATACACAAAGCTGCCATATAACAATGGCAACAGCAAAAAAGCTACGTACCATTTTGGGCTGCATTCACAGAAATGTCACAGAACCAGGTGACAGAGATTCGGATATATTTGCAGCTAAACATTCAGTTCTGGATACCACAATACCAACGGAAAGACATCCCACTGGTGGAAATGTCTTTCAATAAAGGACTAAAAGTTCTGAATATATCTAGATGCAATAAGCGAGGAGAGGACCTCTGCAAACAGTGACCACGTTGATATCAAAGAAACTGAGTTGGAAAAGAAAAAGATATAAAGTAAAGCTAAAAGAGTCTTATTCTAACAAAGGAAAAATAGTTTGCGCCTTTCAGGTGTTTGTAAATTTGATGCTATTTTCTCAAAGGTTTCAGAGACGAGAGTTCTACCCACCTCAGCAGATTCTGGGTGACAGAATTGCTCTCCCCAACACAGAAAAACAAAATATGATTGAGGGAACGTGAAAAAATGTACTACCTACTCCATGTGGAAAAAGAAAATAGGTTCCAGAAAATGACAACTTCCTTGATATGTTCCAAACAATTCTGAGGCCTGAGGGCTAGTTGTAGCTTAATGGGAGACTATGGCAAAAAACAAACAAACCTGAAAGCCTATGTTGACCCCTTTTGAAAGATTTTCAGGGCAGGTCAACTGACTGAAGTAACTAAAGTCCAGCATTCAGTAGCTGAAAGATAATCACAGTATAGCACTTTGAAGGTAAAGAGATACAATGGAAAACGTCCTGTTGCTTTATTGTATACGCTATGTTTTGTGCTTCCATACATTTCCATAAGCAGTAACCAACATCAAGTGACACTGAAGGAAAATGACCATAAAAAGCAGGTCATGGTCCTCTCTCTGAAATACCATTTTATTTTATTTTTAATGGTTGAAAAGGCATACAAGATAAAGATAGAAGCAGTAGTATTTTAGATTGCTTATTTCCATTGATAAAAAAACAGCATAAATGGCTTTGAAAATATATTTACACTGAAGTGAAATTAGTTTTGCGTGTATAGGAAAATGCCATAGTTTGGGAAACAAAAATGAAGATGAGAAAGTGGCTATAAAATCCAGTGCAATATTAAAATTACTAGTCAAGAGTCAGAAGCAGTTGGATACAAGATGCTGAAGAAATAGACATATTTGAAAATTGTCGAGTCTCTCTTAGCTACAGTACTTTAATTACAACAAAATCAGTTTTGTTGAGGACTATATTTTATTGGGGTACACAGATTTTGGGGGACAATCACGATAGCTGATTTTTAAAGAGGCATATTGGCCGATACCAATCCAATTTCCGATACAGCTGGGAAGTCTGTTGTGTGGAAAGGGGAGGGGGAAAGGAAGGTGTGTGGGGGTGCAGATCAATGCCCCCAGTAGTGAGGGAGTAGGGCTAGAGTAGGCGCTGCCCATCTGGGGCGGGACCAAACCAGGGCTTGTCTGGGGGGCACAGGGTGGGAGGGACAGCTCCCACTGATCATCTGGCAGGGCACGGGGAGTGGGGGTGGAGAGGGGATGCGTGCCTCCAGATCTGCCTGTGTGGGGCGGGGCACAGCAGGTTGCAACTGCAGGCTGGGGCCGGGGGTTGCGCTGCGTTTGGGGCAGGCGGCAGCAGCAGTGCTGGAAGGAGGGCTATGGGGGGGCTGCAGCCACCCCAAATTTCGCTACAGCCCCCTCCCAGCATTGCTGACTCCCACCCTGAGCACAGCATAACAGCCCCAGCCTGCAGCTGCAGATCACCCAGCCCACCCTACGCAGATCTGGGGCACATGTGGCAAGAGCAGTGGTGGGAACCACAGGACGAGCTGTGCGCAGCAATGGGAGCTGCCCCCCACCTCCCACAAGCCACGGCTCCATCCCATGCCTTCTCCGGCTGGACGGCACCTACCCCAGCCCAAGCCCCACTTCATCCCTCACTGTGGGGGATGTCACTCTGCACCCCCATACTCCTTCCCTCCCCTTTCACGCAGCTCTTCACACCGCCAGGATGTGTTCCTTGCTGCCTGTGTGCTGTGCTGTGCTATGCGTGCACACAAGCACTTATTGGACAAAATATCTCCCACATCATTTCCAATATAGTCAATTTTCTTTATAATGGCGCTGATCTGATATCAGACGAATATATTGGTACAGTTCTAACATTTTATGCTTCACCTTTTCTGAAGTACTCCGCTAAAGTACTGCTCACAGAGATTCTAATTTTCCCTTTCATTCTACCTGTCTTGCATGGGTGGAAACTTGGACTTTTGCTGACAAGGGACAGAACAGCCTCAGCCTAAAGCTTCTCTTTCAGTAAACCGGGAGTCTGAAAAGGTCAAGAACCATGGGCATAGTGTATAGAGCAAAGCTGACGTGTTCCTGGTCAGCTTCTTTCAAGCACCAGAAACTCCTTCCCAGGAATTCCTGAGATGCTGAAGAATGAAAAAAAATGCAAGATGCTCACACTGAATATACAGTGAATAACCTAAGGACTCCACCACTATTCTATGTTTGAGATTTAAATATCTGATTTTAT